GTGGGTATTAAATTGGGAAATTCGAAATATATAATATACAATAGCTTCGGGTTTCAGGAACTTTACGATACTTCACGTATTTATAGGACACAGTCTTTAAAATATGCGGATGGTATTACGAGAAGTACAGTTTTGACTAGTTTTGAATGTATAAATTTATGCTATTTTACTCACATGTTGCTCGTACTGCGTAACATTTTCTCTTTGTTCCACAGTCGCCAGAAGTCAACAGCACGTTCCCCTCTTTGTGTACGTACACGAACGACTAGTTTCTATTTTCTTCCTATTTTCGTGCTCGATATAAATAAATCTCTCCTGCATTTTTCTTTCCCTCTCAGATCTTTTTTCTTTTTTAAACATCCCCTGTATATCTCTCTCGCTCTTTCTTGTTTAATTATTTTTCGTCTTTTACGACGAATTCCTCGATCGTATTCGGCCTCGAAAGCCGACCTAGCTTCGAAAGTATACGCTCGCTCTGTCTCGCTGGTTGCACTGAGATTTCTCCCAGATCGTGACGTATCCCACCATTAGCAAGTGCGCCACTCGCTGTGTGGAATGTCGTGTTAAAATGCGCCATTTCAACTGACTTTACGTAAGCTCATACGACCAGACGAAACAGAGAAAAAGCATATTATTTCTTGAGATTTGCCGTCCTTGCTTCCTGATCGATGATCAAGTGCAAATTCCCGCGCGCGCGCTTTGTTTACATATTGCTGCACAAATATTACCTTCCCCTCCCTCCCTCAGGCAGGTCAAACAATTGTCTGTTCGTTTGCTGTATATTTTGCAGTACTGGAATGGAAAATTTTGACCAAATATAACTGTTATTTCTATCTGCAGTTGTGCAAGTAACGTCAATTTTACGGATGATGGTATATTAGTGTTCTACTGAGCGAATTTTTGGCCAGATGTTGCTCGTCGAAACCAGTTTAGACCCCGTGAAAGTATACGTGTAATTTGAGTTATTTGACAAACAGGATGGCATTCCCGTTGTGCGTATATGTATACTCGTCCAATCGGAAGATATTTCGTTAATTCCCACTCAATTTTGGATTTTTATGATGAGGTTTAACCGTCACTATCGTTCAAGGTTCACAAACAGGGTTTTCGTCCATCCAAAGTACATTTGAGTTACTGAGCTAAATTTCAGCAAGTCTCGTATGGTAATATAAATATGGCTGTGTCGTTATCTGACCAATATGTCCTGTTTATATACTACAAAACGTCGGCCAGGAGAACAGGCTCTTACGAGAACAGTTAATATTAAAGACGACTATAAACGAGACGAAGTTGTCCATCGAAGATATGAAGGTTGATAAAATGGACAATTTGTCAAACAGAACTGCGAGACACGTTGCCAAAGCTATGCAGGGTAAGCATTTGTACTTATATCTGATAAATTGTGTATACATGTCATTTCAATGGTATAGAACGCTCTGATTTAATGAAAGTTTACGCTCCTAAAATAATTGCGCCAAATATTCAAAGGCTAATTCAAGATTGCTGAACTCAGTCATAGATGCTGTTTAATAATTTATTACATGCAAATCACTGCTAAAAATACTACAGTATATACCCCATTTACTGTATATATATTATAGAACCCTTGTCTCTGCCCTTGGCAGGCAAAACGTGCAAGTTATGTTTACGCAATATATTTCTGATCTGCACTGTTGTGTTATGCCTGACTCAGGGAGGACAGGCATACCTAGGAGAATTTGACAGTTTCAATTTTGCTACTGTATGTATGACAATAAGCTCCACTGCACAGCACCACTTTTTAGTCAATCTTTGTCAAATTTTCCCCTATTAAGAAATTTCAAGTTGCGAGAACTCAAGTAAATTCCTGTGTATGCCATCCTTCCCCAGGCGGACAAAACATTGCTTCGTGCATTATTCCAAAGTGCATATCACAATCACAAAACTCTTCACAGCCTAGGTTAACAAGGCAAGGATTAAGTGTCTATTGTACTATAGTATACCTAGTGCTGTATTTCATATATGGAGGCAGACCAGCCCAGGTATCCAAGCAAGTAACAAGGCACCCAGACTGGCCACAGCCTACTACAGTTGAGGTAGGCCATTACACTTGGGCAGGTCAGTTCAGTTCTCATGTTATCGCAAGATTAAATTGGACAATTGACAAAAAATAATACCAAATGTGGTGTCTCTCCAAAACCAGACCAGCTCGGGTACCCTGGCTTCTCTTTCTTGCTTGCGAAATGTGAATTTACTTTTTGTGTTAAATTTCTTGAGGCACTATTAAAGCTGTGTACAGTGTAAAATAGCATAGTAAGTGCACCAGGAGGGATTGTGCCTTTAACATATATCTCATTTTTTATAGGATTATGTTCGTCGTAAACTGAAAGAATCGAATGCTTATGAGAGTAATCTAGCATACGTTTGATGAAAGGTAACTTTGTGTACTAACATTATATTTATGAAACACCACAATGACCACATTCATACAAGTTAACTTGTTGCTTGTGATGTTACTCTGAGTGTATATCCACACCAGGCAAGCTTGAAAAATATGCCTGACCACGGTGGGAATCGAACCTACGACCTTTGGAATGCTAGCCCAATGCTCTGCCAACTGAGCTACGCGGTCTGGTCGGTTCGAGTATGCGATATTTCGGAACAGAATCTAGTTCCTTCGATATCAATGTAATCTAGTAATAATGATATTTTCTGTGTTGGTGCAAGCCAACAAGTACAACCGCGTAGCTCAGTTGGCAGAGCATTGGGCTAGCATTCCAAAGGTCGTAGGTTCGATTCCCACTGTGGTCAGGCATATTTTTCAAGCTTGCCCGGTGTGGATATACACTCAGAGTAACATCACAAGCATCTTATTCACCTGAGTACATTGCACCAACACAGAAAATATCAAGTTAACTTGTATTTGCAGGCCAGCTAGGCCCGTAGCTAGACTGATCATTGGGGGTGTATATTCATATATTCGTGTTCTGCCTGAGGGATTTCTTTTGAAAGTAATTGTTAACGTTGTTACACTACATGAACATGAATATATGAATATACACCCCCCCCCACCCCTAGCTACGCCGCTGTTGCAGGCATACACTTATGAAACATTAGTCATCTTATACAGCTGTACTAAATATTCTGTTTTAATTTTAGTGTTGACTCTCAACACAACATCATGCTGTGTTCCAAGGTTCCCAAGGAACTGGCTCATGAGTATGGAGGGCCACAACTGTTTTAATAAAAGGTATGGTGTACACAGTATTTATGGTATTTGTAATTGTCTTGCCCAAGGCCAAAAAAAATATGTGGGTTTCCGGTTTCTTCTTATAAAAACTTAGGTAGGGTAGGTCGGTTTTAATTTTTTTTAAACTTTTTTTTAAATTTTCCAAACAAATGAACGCCATTTTGTTTAGTCAGTGCTTTCACATCCAAATTAGATAAATTTCCCTAATATTGCCTCAAATTTCAATTTTCCACGAACTTTTTCCTCTAAGTGGAAACACTTACAAGCATGATCCAATAAAAAAGTTTAGGGTCGGGATTTCGACGTCCAAAAGGTAGGTAGGGTCGGGAAACCGGAAACCCACATATATTTTTTTTGGCCCAATAGATATATTTTAAAACCTTATACCGGTAACTCCTGTGGTATCTGGATTCTGGTAATCACTTTACCATACTTTACTCTGTCAATTTTTCAATATTAATTACCAGGCGATATATGTTGGGTCACAAAACTCCCAACACGGCAACGTCTATAGAGTGGTATCACTTTAGTTTTGCTCACACCAGAGAATCGTCCTATATATGACTAAAGCTAGACAATTGTACTGTACTTGTACATAGCACATGTCTCAAAATTTGATTTAATTAAAGACTTTTGAGCATAGTATAGAAAGAGTATAATATGCAGCTAATTCTTATGATGTTGTCACAAGCAATGCTGTATTGCAGTAGTCAAATGTCACATGCCAGCAATATTATCTGCATTTGCTTGCATTTTGTCAAAAATATTTGCGTTTTGGATTGTAGAATTGACTATTCCATGTGACAACCTTTGCATGTGCACTGTATTTAAAGAATGGTCCTTAAAATGATTTTTTCTGTGTTGGTGTTATGTACTCAGGTGAATATGATGTTTGTGCAATGATACTCTGAGTGTATAACCACACCGGGGAAGTTTGAAAAATAGACCTGGCCAGGGTGGGAATCAAAGCTACGACCTTGGAATGCCCAATGCTTTGCCAACTGAGCTATCATGATTACTAGATTGCATTGATATCAAAAGAACTAGACTCAGTTCTGAAATATCACATACTCGAACCAACTTGACTGCGTAGCTCAGTTGGCAGAGCATTGGGCTAGTATTCCAAGGGTCATCTAGCTTCGATTCCAACCGAGGCCGGGCATATTTTTCAAGCTTACCCGGTGTGGATATACACTCAGAGTGACATCACAAGCATCATATTCACCTGAATACATTACACCAACACAGAAAAAATCATGATTATTAGATTGCATTGTTATCGAAGTAACTAGGCTCATTTCCGAAAATCACATAGTATTACTCAAACCGACCTGACTGCGTAGCTCAGTTGGCAGAGCATTGGGCTAGTATTCCAAGGGTCATAGGTTCGATTCCCACCGTGGCCAGGCATATTTTTTTCAAGCTTGCTTGGTGTGGATATACACTCAGAGTAACATCACAAACATCATGGTCTTTAAAATGTTTATGCGGTTTTTACATATGATTTCGTACAAGTTCTCGTGAACATCCAGAACAAATTATTTTGCGCGTTTAATTTAAATTTTCCACCAACATTAACACACAGCAAGGGATTAAAGACTTTGAAGATCTGTTAACAGCTTTAGCATTAATTTACACAGTATAACCAATTTTTTAAGATTGAATTTTTATTATTTTATAAAGGACGAGGTTTGAACTTATAACACTGCATTTAATTTTGATAGGCATTAATTTAGCTTTGTATTTCAACGGGGTTGCTCAATCTAAAACATCCGTCTTTGGGTGTTTGTGACATTTGTGACACTCTATTTGAAAGTTACCTTTTGCTTTGTCTCCCCATTTTTATGCTCATTGCTTGTAATGCCTCGATAACCTCGTGGATGAATCTGTAAGGCTTCCAAAGTCGGATTTCTTGCTGAGCAAAGTTGTGGCATGCATAAGCAGTCTACCTAACACCCCCCCCCCCAAATTACTTACTGTATGTCGCCTGCGACGAAAAGTATGTAAAATGATTATGAAGAAGAATTTAAAGAACTTTCAGAGTCTGAACAACGCGCATACGGTGGAAGGAAAAGTCATCCAGGCAATGTCATCCAATCATCAAATCAACATTTGATACAAAATTGTACTGTGTGAACTCAATAGTCAACATTTGTACTATAAGTTTTCCAAGAACTTGTAGTAGTGTCAAGCTTATTTGTTATTATTTTGTATCTTTCTTTAGAGACTTGCACGCAGGCTGAAGCACGTGGGAAAGGCAAATTGGGGTGCCCAGAAAACTGCAAGAGTGTTCGATGTTATGAGGGCAGGCTACTGTACATGTCATCAGAAGAAAGCGAGGTCGACGAAACAACAAAAAGGATCATGCGTTACAACGTTCGTAGGCTACCCTGGGAGAGTCCATCTCTATACGAAGGGAAAAGAAAAAGTTAGACAGGCTCCACACCTTGTCTTTGTCAGAACTGGTACGGAGCAGAATTGATCCTCGCGAGGATGGACAGCCCTCCATTCGACCTAAGCCAAACGACTTCCCGGAGTGGGCAGCTAAGAACGAGGATGATAATGTTGTTGATGAGAGTGCCCAGTCATTATCCCTAGTGGCTCTTCGCTGAATGACTCTGTTAATGACATTTTAAATGATCATGACTCTGATTGCTATAGTTTTTCAGTATAGTAAAGACCCACGATATATCACCCAAAGTTTTCCATGTTCTGATGTATTAAGAGTGCTTTATATATTTGTTGTAAACCTGCATGGCTTTTTAAACAGGTTCATACAAAATTCTAAATAGAAATGTTAGACTGAAAGGTTTTTATTCGTGGGTTTTCATTCTGCACGTGATAATTTGATAATCAAATTTATGAGTTTGCGTAATTTACACTGTTTATACGATATGCATTTATTCTGCATGGCAGATTTTTATGTTATTTATATGGTAAATATAAAATTGAAGAAAAAATTATGTGTGCTGAAATCTTTTTTTTTTGTCTTTGGAGACATTACTTCCTGCTTTGCTATTAAACTCGCCACTGGAGCAGCTTGTTTGCTATTACGTTCAAATCTGGGAAACGCCAGAGAGATCTATGAATGGCATTACTTTTGTTTTATTGATCATCTTACCTGCACGTACAATTTATTAACGAAAATATCTAAAACATGGCTTAACTGTAACTATTATTATTTGACATTTGCATTTGCGATTTTGAATAGTTTGTTTAACCATTAATGTTTAACCATTAATGGTTAAACAATACTATAGGTATTTAAATGGCAAATGGAAACGTCAAATAGACAATACACGTTTCTTTTCTGTTCTTTTCGTACGACATTAAATGTGTTTTAAGGTTAAATAAACATACAAAACACCTTTGCTTAAAGTTGAGTAAAGACATGTACCTTTTCACAGTTTCAACACCACATTAAATGTGATTAAAGGTTAAATAAAGATACAAAACACCTTTTCATAAAGTTGAGTAAAGGCATGCACAGGTACCTTTTCACAATTTCAACACATATTAAATGTGATTAAAGGTAAAATAAAGATTCAAAACACCTTTGCTTAAAGTTGAGTAAAGACATGCACCTTTTTACAATTTCAACACCACATTAAATGTGATTAAAGATGTAAAATACCAGAGCAGAAAAGCTTTGTATATGTAGCTTCAAGGTACCTTTACAGCTCATTTCTCTTCGCAGTTTAAAGACAAGTTAGAAACCTTTAATTCCCTTTAAACAAACTTTTCTCATTCTTTAATAGGTCGTCTTTAATCATCTATAATTATACTATAATTTGGTCATTTAAAGCCTCCAGAAAAATCTTTAATCTGCATGCTGAAAGGAGAGTTTAGGTACATTTACTAAATTTAATCAAACTGATTAAATGTGAATAAAGCCGCCAATAACATCGCTTTACGCCACCTTTAACCATGATGATAGCTACTGATTTCGTCCTGTGTTAGTGATTCAATCAATGATTCAATGATTCATTCAATGACTCACTCTATGATTCAATCTAGGATTCAATGATTCAATCAATGATTCAATGATTCAATCTAGGATTCATTCTATGATTCAATGATTCACTCTATGACTCAATCTTAGGATTCAATGATTCACTCTAGGATTCAATGATTCAATTTAGGATTCAATCTAGGATTCAATGATTCAATCAATGATTCAATGATTCAATGTAAGATTCATTCTATGATTCAATGATTAAATCTAGGATTCAATGATTCATTCTAGTATTCAATGATTCAATCTAGGATTCAATGATTCAATGAATGATTCAATGACTCAATCTAGGATTCAATGATTCAATCTAGGATTCAATCTAGGATTCAATCTAGATAGAGATAGAGATGAGATGAATCGTTTATTAAATCAATTATTGCAGTCCAATGACTGAATTACAATTGGTTGTTATAAAATTTATAAATACATAGTACTAATGTTTAAAAAAATTGTTATATATATATATATATATATATATATATATATATATATATATATATATATATATATATATATATATATATATATATATACACACACACTTAAGAACTAAACTAGACAGAAAACAACTAGTCAATGAATACTTCGTGGCTTAAATCCTAATAAAATAACCTTTCGAACGGGGGGTCAAGTGCCGTCAGAGCATTACACAAACCGAAACAATCATATATTTACTCACCGCTTGGCCAAAGATTCTAGATTTTATATCTACAAGATCTTGAATATCTCTTGAACTTTTCGTCATTTTCTGAACGGCTATATGTGTAAAATACTCTTTGTATCCAAGCGCTTTCGTGTAGAAAGTTTCGTATGTATACGCCCACTAGAAATATTTATTTTGAATTTTTCAAGATATCGGGTTTTACTCGCACTTGCGAACATTGCGCAATAATTGGCCAATAAGAAGCTCCTGTTGGCCGGTATGACGTCAAACTCACGCGTGTAGGTGCAATTTGACCTTGCGAACCATTTCTGGCCTTTCCAGGGTCATATGATACAAACGTCGCATTGTTTTGACGGTTTTCAGACGTATTTCCGGTTGGGATTAACTCACTTCGAGCTCACAGTCGGACAAGAAATGGAAATATACTGATAAAAGATACAGATTTGAAGATACAGGCTTGCAAATAACACTCTAAATAGTGTTTTTGATGGGGATTCGAACAAGACTATTACAAAGACGATATGTGCGAAGGGGCCGAAGTTATTTTCAGCGAAAGGTATGGCTAGTCTATATTTTGTTCAGACAATTGCGTAATTTGATACAATATTATCGTGTTTGACTTTCAAAGGCCCATAAATCGTTACAATGTTAATAATGACTATAACTATCGTTTGGAACTAGTCTATCTTTTATTTCTGAATCGATTGGTGGTATTTCTGTCTTCATAGCATGCACTGAACCGAAGGTATGAAATTTATAGCCGTCGATCGCTCAGGATCGACACAACTGTGTTGTGATGCAAAAGAGTTAAAAAAGTCCAGGAAAACTGAATTTTACCGATGTATGATGATTTTATTGATCCATCTTTAGTTTAGAAATACAATGGATTTACAACAATGTCTACATAACCGGGCATGCGATGATATTTACAAGTCTAGGAAAGTAGTAAAAAGTTAATAAAAACAAAGTTAGGGATAAAACTATTTCTGTGTCGTCCAGTACCTGAAAAAGGTGCGTATTTAAATGTACCGTCTCTACGCCTAAGATTATAGTTATGTTTATTATGTTCCATAGTTCGTTGATAAAAGATATGACTTGGATTACCTAAGATATAGTATCGAGTTCTCTCGATGTGGCTTCAATTCTTCTCTCTTCGAGAGTTGGGAGGTAACAATGCGGGAGGCCAATAATTCGTAGACTCCTCCTTTGCACACGTTCCAATTCGTCCTTTAGATATCGTGGCAGACCATCCGACACTGGAGAACAATATTCAAGGATAGGCCTGATTTTAGTTAAGTGAGACCCACTTCGACTGGTAGGTCAATCTCGTTCCCCGAGCCTGCGATCCTCGGGAAGGAACGCGAGGCTCTGGGATAATCCGTTTCAGGGAGGAATCTGATTGGCCGTTGAAATGGAATGCGTAGTTCAATCTTAGCCAGGATTCCTGGCTTCCGGCAACGGATCATCCCATAGCCTCGCGTTCCTTCCCGAGGATCGCAGGCACGGGGAACGACATTGCTGGTAGGTTCGCTCTTCTACATTCTCTTAGGCAGCACAAGTTTTTAGCTGCTTTGCGAGTGGTCTCCTCGATATGTTTGGCTCAATGAGGACCTTTTTTCGGCAAAGCTAGTTCTAAAGAGGGAAATTGAACGTATGATTGTGTTTAAAAGTCGTAGAGATGAACCCCCTTCTCTGGGTGCTTGCGACTGCCACCAGGTTACATGTTGCGTGCTGTAAGCCATTATTCAAGTAAAACAATGTTCCCTAAAGTATGAACTTCCTGTTTAAAAAACCCCAATGAAATAGTATACAAATGGCAAATTTAAACGAATTTATCCTTAAAGAACGGGAATTTTGCAAACTTGTAAGTAAAGGTGAATTGTAGCAAGTGAATTTTTCGAGATTTTCAATTTTTTGAGGAATATCGGGTTTTAAGGAGTTTGTTAGGAATTTAAGCGTTCGTTAAACGTGTGCAAAAATGCAAATATAGAGATATCCAAATTTTTTTCCTGCTCAATTGAACTTTATTTGTTTCGAGCTGCATGGAACGCATTGTTAGGGGGAAATTAAGTACAATTATAGCTAAAGCGGAAATAACTCGAAAACTATGATAATTCAGGTAAGTGTATCATATTTTGATTGTGTATACAACAAGACAACTCATCACAAAACTGCGTATCGCGATTTTACATTCCCAAGCCATCATTTTGGAAACGAAAGGTACGTCTTTGAATTTGTAAAACTCAGTTTCAAAATAACATAAAACAGCCGGTAAAGGAAAGTTCTAAGACTAGCTAAACTGAAGTGGATTCAGCTTAAAAACATTAGTCATAATAAAGAGCTTTTATAAAGACTAATGTTTTAAGCGGAATCGATCCCTTTCAGTTCAGATTTGATTACGCATGCAACAAACATTTCATCGGCATTTGAGATTTGGAGATGTCAAAAATTATTTTGGGCAGCAAACTAGTTTAAGGTAGGTCTTTCTTTCATTTTTTACAGCTTTTTAATTAAATGACTTAAAACAGCCTGTAGAAGAAAGGTAGATATGTATTAATAATTTTCCATCGCAGTTGAGAGCTAAATTAATCGAAAGGAATTTTTTAGCTTAAATATGATCGAGTCGAAGGCTTTCTACGAAGACACTGGCTGCCACCATACAAGATAGTTCGTTTAATGTCGTATTCATGCACACACAGACAGATCAAGCGGCAAAGGCAACTACGCACATAAAGCCTGCAGCACACGAGAGCTATCTGCTGAGCAAAAGGTTACTCGTGCCTGTTAGCTCAGCCGATAGCTCACCGTGTGCGCGTACATTTTACTGCGTTTTTTGCCTCATGCAACCTTTTCTCACGTATCAAACATGTTTGATCGGTGAGCTATCAGCTGAGCTAACAGGCACGAGTAACTTTTGGCTCAACAAATAGCTCTCGTGTGCTGCAGGCTTTAGTTTCTCATGTAGCTGTATAAATGAAGAACTATATACAGTGCATGTGTATCAAAAAAAGATAATCGAACTTCAGCGCGCTATTACAGAGGTTAAGATACCCCGGTTTCGGTGTACGTGTACGGGTAGCATGATTTTGGTTAGCAATATTTTCGTCGATGTCTGTGCCTTTACTCGTAATTAAGGTGCACATTTTTCGCATTATATCATTGTCTATTGCAAGAAAACAGAAAAAGTTAGTATGATCGAATTACAGACATCAGTAAAACAAGATGACACTACTCGTACCCGTACACCGAAACCGGGGTATCTTAACCTCTCTAAAAGCGCGCTGAAGTTCGATTATTGTACATGAATTACTCGGCGTATGAACAATTTTTTTCATATTCAGAAATATCAGGCTTTAATGACATGTTTTTCATGCCAAGCGGACAACAAATGAGCAAGTACGAGTCCGATAAAAACTGTTGGTCAAAATCGCATATTTTCAGCTATGTGCCAAATTAAAGCATGACAAAGGAAAAAGCAATTAATCACGAACTTCTCTTAGCTTACCTAAGATAATAATAAGTAATAATTATGAATTTGTGCGTAGTTTATTGAAGTGAATTTTCATCAACTTAAGTCCCAAAGGGGTTAATTTTCAATGGTTTTAGGCCCAACTCTCAACGGTGAAAATATGCAGCGATTCTGACTAACATTTTTTATTGGATTCGTATTTGCTCATTTTTTCCCATTTGTCATGAAGAACATATTATTCATCAGGTAAAAGCCTGATCTTTCCGAATATGAAAAAATCTGGTTCATACGTAATATTCCTACTTGTAACCTAACGAATTGAGTTCAACACTTCGAACGTAGAAAGCCTTTGCGTGGGAGTTAGGGAGATTATCATTTCGTCAGACGTCATTTCGAGTTCTCCCAAACTATCACAAGTGTTTCTGTACTGGCATGATAGAAACACGGGAAAAATGTATAATACCGCGCGCGCAAATTTATTTTATCGCCATATGCAATCCTACAAAGAACTTTTTACGGGAAAAACTGTTTAATTTCTATTTTTTGTTATAATATAACTGTTATAATAAAAGTTTTTATAGCACCATTTTTATATCGATTTATTTACATATTCTCATTAAAGTCCACTCGATCGGTTGCCCAGCCTTTGATCACAGAGTAGATACATATACAGAGTTCTAACTAGTGTACTTACTTTTTTGTGCGCATGCTCGGCAAGTTGCTAGATGCATGCATTTCATTGGATGGCGACTCGCTTTAATTAACTGCTCGCGGAACTTGCCGAGCACGCGCAGTTGATCCAGTCGCCTGAAAAAAAGTGGATACATGAAAACGTAAGTTTCCGCACTGTTTACAACGGTCAGTTCCAGCTCTGTATATGTAGCTACTCTGTGCTTTGGTCTCGTCAATGGACCATTTTCATTATAGACTAAATTTTGATCTAAACAAGTCTAGACAAAAATTTCATCACAGCTTGAAAGAGCATCACAAAATTAGTAATATTCCAAAGTTTCGTTGTGAAATGTTGTAAAATGCGGATACTATAGCCTTGCGAAGTTTGCCGTTTTTCAGTCATTTTGTATTACCAACGGGAAATTGACAGCCCCAAAGAGCCCAATCGGGTGTTGGGGCATCAATTTCTCGTTTGTAATACAAAATGACTGTAAATTGCAAATTTCGCAGGGCTATATTATCCGCATTTTACAACATTTCGCAACAAAACTTCGGAATATTACTAATTTTGTGATGCTCTTTCAAGCTGTGATGAAATATTTATCTAGACTTGTTTATATCAAAATTTAGTCAAAATGAAAATGGTCCATTTGACTATAAAAGATTCAAGTACTTGATTCTCTAATTTGTCTTGTGTTCCTTGGTTTGGTTATTATGTACATTATTTATATTTTTAGGGCCGAGCAAACTAATGAGCATATATACTAGTCCTGTTCTAAGAAAAGTGCAAGTTTGAAATGAAGAGGAACCACTTAAACGCACTGTGTTTCGGCTTAATAGTCGCCACATTCTACACATGCCGCAACACTGAGGCGTTGAAATGCGATCCTCATACTGGTCCGAACGGAGTTAGACACTGCATCAAACTGCCACAATATAACGACTTCCAATGGAGTACTTGTCGTACAGACCTTTACATCAGAGCAAAGACGGGTGGCAAGCACCACTGCGCACGTCGTGATATTACATATTGCTATTATCAGTGTATGTTGAATGTGTATGGTGAAAACGGTGGTGATGTTTATGGAAGCTGCCGTTGCTCCCCAGGTAACAACTATTAGAAGTAATACCACCATAATATAAGGGAAATTAGCAATCTATGTATGCCCCTTCGCAGGTTAGGTGCTGGCCCGCCCAGCAGTGCTGGGCATGACTCTGGAGAAACGGAATGACCGGATATGCAATTTTGGACATCCGGTTAGTTGTGCGAATGCTGTTGCTCAAACCCCAACACTGAATTCACGCGGGCGTCATTAGTTGCAATTTAAATAAAGTCGTAAAATTTATTGAAAATCAACCTCGTACACAGGGCCTGCCCGTCCGACTTTCTATTAGAAAATCGGACGGGCAGGGCCTGGGTACGAGGTTGGTCGAAAATTTCATACTTTTTACATTGAAATCAATTGAAAAATATTTATTTTGTTCTGCTAAAAGTTACAGAGTGAATGTACACGGGGTGTATATAAACTAAGCATTTTTATGGATTTTACCCGGTCAAGAAATGGTATCAAGACTTTACAAGAAGGCTACTGACAGAGTTTATTGGATAACTGTTGTATTTTTACTGTTTTAGAAGTTAGAATGCTCTAGATTATTACATGCTATAGCTATTAGATTATAGTTTTCATAATATTAAAATATCTAGAATGTTTGATGATAGATCTGTGGCTGGTTAACCTACATTTTGTTTATTAAATACTTTGGTGCCTTGATGTATTGATAGTTAAAATGAGTATGAGGGTACTTCTCTCTGTATCAATATCATTCCTTTGATTTAACATTGTGCTTTGTTAATTTCATTTTTCATATAAACTGTTCCGTGGTTATATGTATTTAATTTATTTAACTGAGTCATAAAAAATTATATTTACAATTATTGATGCTTGAAAATAACTTAACTAAATGCAATTATAAGACAGTGTTTGAAGTGTTTTTGCTGATATAATATCATAACTATTGGGTTTAACAATTAACACAGGATCGTGTCATCAGGTCCTATGATATACATACTCAAAAAAATAGTCTTTTATCCACACAAAAATTCTATGCTCACTATATCCAAATGAATGGAAACATTTTCATAACATTTTACATTTTGAATGTGCAATATGTCTGATATGAGACTAAGCGGCAGCTACAAAATTATTGTCAAGTAGCACCGATTGACTTAATAACTTGACTTGCTATATATCAATCTCATTTGATTTAGGAAGCTCATGATTTAATTTAGATGCAGTTTACTTCTGAAAGAGCTAAAATCATGACTATTTGGATCAAATCGATAATAGTACATGGACATGAATCACATGATTTTTCAAACAGGTCAAAACTAGCTTATTTTTTATATTTAAGGTGGCTCGCTACAGTTTATAGAAATGTTGAAAATGCGTAAACTAGATCACCTCTTTGAAGAGATGATGCTCTTTACAAATCGAAATTTGTATATTATATATACAGCGACAATCAAACAATCGAAAATTGGTCAGAAAAGTGACGCCATCACTGTTGCTATGGCAACAATGACGATTCAAGATGGCCGATATTTTGGCTTTGAACGCATTTTACTTTAAAAAAGGTCGGTGTGATGTACGGGTTAGAGACGGGGGACTGGGGAGATTCAAGATGGCGTGACTGAGTGAAAGCTTAAATTGTATATTGTATTAAGATTGAATAAAACCGTTGAGTTCGAGAATATTATATTGGCGACGAGGACTAAAATTGCAACAACATTTTACTCTGGAAACATTGTAATTGATAAGGGATACGATACACGTTGGATTAGTGTTTTTATTACGTTTGAAATTCAGAAATTGAAATCCGAAAATCGATAAAATTTTGGGAATAATCCAATGTGGCGACTGCATTGGATTTGTCAGGTTTGGGAAATTTTGATCCGCATTCGGATCCAACTACATTATCTGTACGATGGAAAGAATGGTTACGGCGCTACGAACGGTTTCTGGTTGCTATGGATATAAAAGATGATACTCGGAAACGTGCTCTATTGCTATATGCAGCGGGAAACGAAGTAGAAAAAATTTTTGCAACGTTGTCTGAGGTAGGGGAAGAAAAAGATTACAAGAAAGCGGTTGAAAAGCTGAACGAGTATTTTTTACCTAAGAAAAATGTGTTACTTGAAACCCATAAATTTCGCCAGTTAAAACAAATAACTGAGGAAACAATTGATCAATATTGTACCAGGCTTAGACAACAAGCCATCATCTGTGAATTCTCTAACAGTGAAAATGAGATTAAAATCCAGCTTGTTGAAGGATGTTTATCATCGCGAGTGAGAAGAAAAGCCATTCAGGATGATTTATCATTAGCAAACATATTAGCATATGCAAGATCTCTTGAAATAACAGATAAAGCTGTCAAAACATTAGAAGAAGATTGTGGGCATTTAGCTCCCTCCTTGAGTGCGGTTAATGCTATACATAACCAACAAGACAAGTCGAGTCAGTATCATGAACGAACGAACAGACAGCCACATCAATCAGCAACCCAGTATCCTACAAGAAATCGATACTCCTACCCACTCAAGAATGCGGGCCGAGAAAATTCACGTGAGCAGCAACCGAATGGTAAGAAAATATGTTATAATTGTGGGGAAAATTATTATGCAGGTCATCTTAGTGTGTGTAAAGCAAAGGGAAAATCTTGTTTTTCATGTGGAAAACAAAATCATTTCGCGACTATGTGCCGTAGTCGTCAAAGGAACAATATTCCAGAAAAAGGGGAGAACATTCAAGCCATTAATTGTACTGAAAAGCAATTAAATTCCTCTGATGAAGATTCATATGTTTTTGTTGTTACCCCACCAGTAGAAAATGAGGTTTCCCCAAATTCACGAGCAGTTAAAACCATTCCAGTTATTATTGAAAGGGCTCATGTTAAAATGATTGTTGACACTGGGGCAACAACAAACATTTTAGATTCCAAAGCATTTAATGAAATCAAAAAGAAAAACCCCAGTTTACATTTGCAACCATCAACACACAAAATTTATGCCTACATGCAATCTCAACCTTTGCCAGTCCTTGGGAAATTTGAAGGACTTATTGAGTCAAAACACAGAATGGCTGTTACAACATTCCATGTTGTAAACGGGGACGGTGGGTCATTACTAAGTTATTCCACAGCCACAGAGCTTGATATTGTGAAAATGAATGTGCATGCTGTTGTTACCCAGTCTAGTTCTACATCCTACACTGATCCTCGAGAGGATCATAAACAGTTTGGCAATGAGAACCCAGAAATTCCTAAGAACCATCAACCAGACTCACCAATCATGTCAAAGTTTAAAAAGGAATACCCAGCAGTCTTTAATGGCATTGGGAAACTAAAGGGTCATGAAGTACACCTACACCTTAAAGATAATGCTAAACCTATTGTGCAAAAACCCCGAAAGATACCTTTTCATCTCCGTAAACAGACAGAAAATAAACTGAAAGAACTGGAGGAAAGTGATATTATTGAATTCGTTCCATCAGGGACACCTACACCTTTTGTATCAAATCTTGTTGTTGCACCAAAGCCTAACAATCCAGCTGAAGTCAGAGTATGTATAGACATGCGACATATGAACCCAATGATAGAGCGAGAACGTCATGTTATCCCTAATATTGAGGAACTCTTTGAGGACATGGCTGGTGCTACAATGTTTTCAAAAGTGGATTTGACAGCTGGGTTTCACCAGTTACTTCTTGACGAGGAGTCACGATCTCTTACCACAGTTCACACCCACAAAGGTCTTATGCGATATAAACGTTTATGTTTCGGAGTAAATTCAGCACCAGAGCAGTTCCAATATGCTATTCAACAAACACTCCAAGGACTGGAGGGAGTAAGGAACATTGCCGATGATATTATTGTGTGGGGAAAGTCCCAGAAAGAACATGATACACACCTTGAAGCTCTCATGAAAAGAACTCTCAGAAAACAATCTTACCCTTAATGTTTCTAAGTGTAAGTTTAATGTAGACAGCATTTGGTTCTATGGTTACACATTATCAAAGGATGGCATTTCTGCAGACAAAACCAAAATTGCAGCACTAGTTAACATGAAAGAGCCAGAAGATGTTTCCCAGTTGCGCAGCTTCTTGGGATTGGCAACATATTGCGAACGGTTTATTAATAACCTGGCAACAATCACGGCACCATTACGCGAGTTAACCAACAAAGGCGCTGTTTGGAAATGGACAGGCAGGCACCAACAGGCATTCAACAAAGTCAAAGAAGAAATTGCGAAAGATTGTACCACTGCTTTTTATGACCCATCTAAACGAACTCGAGTAACGGTTGACGCAAGCCCAGTCGGATTAGGGGCCATTTTATCACAGTTTGATAGGGACGACAACGAGCGAATTGTTGCGTATGCAAGCCGTAGTCTCAGCAAGGTTGAACAGCGATATTCACAAACTGAAAAAGAGGCGCTTGGAGTTGTTTTTGGTTGTGAGAAATTTCACATGTACCTTATTGGAATTGAATTTGAGTTGGATACGGATCATAAACCGCTAGAAGTTATATACCATCCCAAAGCGAAGCCATCTGCGCGGATTGAACGATGGGCTCTCCGGTTACAACAGTACCAATTTAAACTACGACACCGACCCGGTAAAACCAATCCAGCTGATGTACTATCCCGTAAACCTTTGTCAACACTCGAAAAGAACAGCATTGCAGAAGATTATGTAAATTTTTTAACCGACCATCTAGTGCCTAAATCTATGAACAGGCAGGAAATTGAGGAAGCGTGTCAGAAGGATGCTGAAATGCAAGCTCTTATAACGGCTATTAGAAAAAACCGCTGGCCACGAAAACCAGCTGGTAACACTAACAACAATAAGAACGATAATAACATCGATCTAACGCCATATCACAGTATTTGTAACGAACTAACAGTTTCAGATAACGGTATCGTACTACGAGGAAACCGACTTGTTATGCCCAAGAAACTACGAAGCCACACATTAAATATTGCACATGCGCAACACGAGGGTATCGTGAAAACTAAAACCTTACTTCGAACAAAAGTATGGTGGCCGGGAATAGATCGCCAGGTTGAAACGCTTATCGCTTCCTGTATACACTGTCAAGCTGCAAACAATTCCAAAATATTTGAACCGCTGAAAATGACCACAATGCCATCCAAACCATGGCAAGTGATTCATGGGGATTTTTGTGGACCATTCCCCAGTGGGGATTATCTTTTAGTGTTAATGGATGAACATTCCCGATTTCCTGAAGTTGAAATCATTCGATCAACTACAACCGCGGTCACTATTGGAAAGCTCGAGAAAATATTTTCGGTTCATGGATTCCCAATTGAATTTGTTAGCGATAATGGTCCACCTTTTAACGGACATGAATTCCACAACTATTTAGCACGAAATGGAATCAAACATCGAAAGATTACGCCATACTGGCCGCAGGCCAATGCACACGTAGAACGGTTTATGAGGACTATTGAAAAATCAGTTAGAATTGCTCACTCACAAGGAAAGAATTGGAAAACGGAACTTTATCGTTTTCTCCTAGATTACCGCACAACACCACATGTTACTACAGGAATTGCACCGGCAGATCTACTATTCAACCGACAAATACGTAACAGACTTCCAGATAGCAACGCGATGATCCAAGAAGGGAAAGGGGGAAATCAGGGTAAAACGTCTCCAACTACAAGTCGTGAAGCTGTACTTCAACGCGATGCCAGGGAGAAAAACAAAATCAAGGATCGGGCAGATATACGAAACAGAGCTAAAGAACCCCAATTCCGTATCGGAGATTTGGTATTGTTGAAACAAAGTCAAAGAAATAAGTTATATTTACCTTGGGATCCATCACCATATCGCGTAACGAGTATAAAAGGATCAAAAATCACGGCCAAACGCCGAGGGGTTACGGTCACACGAAATTCGTCACATTTCAAGCGTGTAATTCCTTACTTGCAAGAAGTGGACGATCCATATTCAAACAGTAGTGAAGAAGAAGAGGAAGAAATGGCAGCCCAGCAACAACAGGAAGATCCAGAGAATGATATCGCAAGTGAGTTATCAGACGAAGATATTGATAATGCAGAGCAAGACCAGCCGTTAAATCGATATCCAAGGAGAGAAAATCGAGACATTCGACCACAATATTATGAAGAAGAAATCGGTTGAACTGGACTGTATTAGATTGAATATTTACGTTACTGAAAAACAGTACCCGATAAGTAAGAACATTTATGGTATTTTAGTATAGTATCGGGAAACACTTAAAAACTTCTTAGGTTAAAATTAATTGGTTATTTATGATTGTTTGAGTTACGTTTGGTCCATAAAGAAAAGGGGAGATGTGATGTACGGGTTAGAGACGGGGGACTGGGGAGATTCAAGATGGCGTGACTGAGTGAAAGCTTAAATTGTATATTGTATTAAGATTGAATAAAATCGTTGAGTTCGAGAATATTATAGTCGGTTACCCCCATTTTTTATTCCAGAAAACATTTTCTTATAGTGCAATGCACTATCTGACCAATTTAAAAAAAATTCTGTAATGCAAAAAAAAATTATTTCGAAAAATCATGTTTATAAATTTTTTAAAAATTTGGCATTACAGATTTTTTTTTAAAATTGGTCAGATAGTGCATTGCACTATAAGAAAATGTTTTCGGAAATAAAAAATGGGGGTAACCGACCTTTTTAGTCGCTGGGGCACTCTGTGCCTCCAGCGACTATAGGTTTCGGCTTCATCGCGGATTGTTGGTCACAAAATGACCTACGTCATTTTTTTGTCAAACATTACGTCATTACTTTCAGTCGCTGGATTCAAGATGGCCGCTTACTTGGGAGCGTATTTGGAAATAATTTCATCGATTTTGTGCATATTTTCTTCAATTTTCGATGAAACTTAATAGTTTTCCTATCAACCAGACTTTATAAACCAAAGGTCATCTTATGAGTAAACTTGGAAGGCTGGAAGCCTGAAATAGACGACAAAAGTTGACAATTTTCACAAAATTTGGAACTTCGTAAATTGCAACAATAATATTCGCAAGATGCTGTTTATTTGGATGTAAATAGAATCTGCTTAATGGGACAAGGGTTTAATAGAGCTACTTGCCTTGCTGGCAAATGATATTTTAATAGCTCTCAGGACAGCTGTTCTCTCACAATAGGTATTGTACAAATCAAACACACAGAACTTATTAATTTGTGTAATAGATAAATTTGGCAAAGTTAGTTACATTGTTGCTATGCAATTCACAACTTTAAATATTCATGCCTAGTTAGTGTTCTACAGTAGTTCACACATAAAATAGAACAGAAGTAACTATTAAAGCATTTGATAAGCCCTATACACTCTAAAAGTCATTCTTTTCATTCATGTAGCTCGATATAAATTCTAAACAAATTCTAGACAAATTTGTTTATCGTCTATAGTCGGGGGACTTGTTTGTTGAACTTTGTTTTAATTGTTCCTTGAATCCCATTTTTTACAAAAACAATTTCATTATATGAACACACAAACTTAAACAAATAGCAGCAATCTCAATCACTGGCATGCAGCGTAATATGCAATAGCCCCAGCGACTAACGCTCAGTTGAGCGTCTTGTTTAAAGTAAAATGCGTTCAAAGCCAAAATATCGGCCATCTTGAATCGTCATTGTTGCCATAGCAACAGTGGTGACGTCACTTTTTCTGACTAATTTTCGACTGTTTGATTGTCGCTGTATATATAATATACAAATTTCGATTTGTAAAGAGCATCATCTCTTCAAAAAGGTGATCTAGTTTACGCATTTTCAACATTTCTATAAACTGTAGCGAGCCACCTTAATTGATGTAGCGAGGCACAAAACAGCTTTCTTTGCAAAACTATATGTTGTGATCAAGGTGAGAGTTTTCATCCCACGCTGTGTAATAACCTAGCTGAAATTGTTTCACGATTACTAGGCAGCACGTTTCAGTCCGGGCTGAGTTAAATTTCAGCACAATAACCTCAGCCACAGTTAATTTCGAATTACACTGCAAGTCTGATGATGTTTTTGAGAGACATTAGGGCCATTTATACCAGCGAGCATAAGCCGCGGCTTAATTAAATAAGTCGCGGCGGAACAGTGCGATTATACGGTGTTGCTTGTTTGCAATCGACGCCATCTTCGTTGTTTTTTCGTGCCAACTAAAAATCTATATTCTTCATTCTTTGTCGTAATGTGCCAGAAATCGTAAACAATCCATAATACAGTAAGATATTTTCAAAACAAACCAAAAATATTAAAGTAACTCAACTATTTCGATGTAAACGGCTGGACAAAATTTTATAATCGACCAAGATGACGCCCAATGACACGTAGTGACGTCATATACACGCAAAGAATTGTACATGCTAAAAATTATATCGTGATTAGGGGCGGACCATTAGAAAAGTGATGGGGGTTGCGTCGGTTATTTTTATAATCCCTTGCTCGAATTTTATTTTTTTCCCCCAAAATTGCTGGCCAGCGGGGGCGGGGGGGGGGGAGGGGGTGAAAATTTTTTTTCCGGGCTCAAAAAAGTTTGCAGGACAAGGAAAAATAGGGTCAAAAAACTTTTTTTCGGACTAACATCATTTCAATTAAGGTTTAAAACACATTTTCCCCGAAAAAACTTCTTAAAACACGATTAAAACGCTTATTTTCGAAATTTCGGGGACACCCTTACACTGTACCTCCGATAGGCCCTGTAATTTCCCTATTGAAAAGTCTCTGCACGAATTTTTTTTTCAGACATTTCTAATGCACGATTTTTTTCTTTCTTTCTATTTTCCCTGCTTGAATTTTATTTTTGTCCCCCCCCCCATCACTTTTCTAATGGTCCGCCCCTTTGGCATATTGTAAACACTGGACTGGACTTTGGACTATGGCCTTTGGAATTTGCACTTTGAAATTATATTATTTTACGATTTTCGTATAATTATATTAAACTTAAACAGAGACCGAAAATTTGCTGCTGAAAAGCGTGCTACACTGCCTGCATATGCATGATATAATATACCAGGTTAAAAATACTACCAGTTACACAGGTATACCAATGCAATTTCATAGATATATAGCAGCGGCGGCGGAACAGATTTCATTCTGGGGGGGCTACATTTTTTTCCGTTACCCTCCCCCCCCCGTCGCCAAAACATTTTCGGTCAGTGTACCATTTTAGGGGTACAAAAATTTTTCCGGACATATACAAGAAAAGGGATGATAAAACAAAAAAATTTTCCGGAAATACACAATTTTTAAACAAGACATTTTTCCCCTTATACCTAAATTTTTAAAAAAACCCTAAATTTTTCCTTAATTATCAAATTGTTTTCAGAAAAAACTAAATTTTCTGGAGGGCTAAGCCCCCCCCCCCACTATTACTTCCGGGGGGGTTTTAGCCCCCCTAGTCGCCCCCCCCGGTTCCGCCGCCCCTGATATATAGCCTGTATAGGATAGCAGGATTATCTAATATTTTTGGATTATCTAAATTTTATTATAACATGTACATTTGTATTTATAGTATGTATGGTACTTAATAATTATTATACTTTATACTGCAGAACTTCTACTTTATCATATAGATGATAGATTTATACGGAAACAATTGTGACAAAAGTATCTATATAGTCTAAAAGTATCTATCGGCAAATACAAAATATTTAGAAACTATAAACTACAAGTGATTATTATTGCGCCTATTGTATTATGTATCTATCGTTCATCCTTGCATAATAGTTTATACCATTGCTGTATTGTGTAACTGTTTACTTATTTTTGAAAGGCATTCTTTAGCTACATTAATGAGGTTTATCATCTCATTATCTATTGTCTTAATTGCACTCGACGCGAGTCACGCGACCAAAATTCGACATATAAAACTGACGTGGGCTTTAGGGGCTTAAGTGTTATAGTAAATGGACAGGAACTATTCGAACATCATTTTCAGTTTGTCCTTATATTATGCATTTCATGTAATGATTCGTTCATTATTTTCTAGACCTTAATGAATGTGTACTCGGAACTCATGGTTGTAGTGTGAATGGTTTCTGTACAAACACTTCTGGATCTTACACGTGTCAATGTAACCCGGGCTACACTGGAAACGGATTTACTTGCATAGGTAAGCTATAAAACAATTTTCTATCTTAGCTTATCATTTTTATTAAAAGAAGTCTCTATTATCATGCATGTAAGTATAGCGATTTAACTCAGTACTAAAAAAGACATTGTAGGCGATTGTAGTTTAAAATGAGTGTTACAAGTGATCTTATTTTTGAAAGGCATTCTTCAGCGATATTAATGAGGTTTATCATCTCATTATCTACAGTGTGTATAAAAAAGACCTGAACCCTTTCAAATTCAAATTAGCTATAACGTATTGTAGTAATTTGACAGCTCGAATTGCTTTGAATTAATGGTTGGGTAAGAACACAAGGTACTTGTACTCATGGGACGAAACTCAAAGAAATAAAAATTAGAAAATTTAATAGTTTTTAAGAGTTTTGTCCCATGAGTACAAGACCTTAATGTGTTCTTACCCAACCATTTACTCAAAGCAATTAGAGCTGTCAAATTACTACAATACGTTATAGCTAATTTGAATTTGAAAGGGTTCAGTTTTTTTTATACACCCTGTATTGTCTTAATTGCATTCGACGCGAGTCACGCGACCAAAATTCGACATATAAAACTGCCGCGGGCTTTAGGGGCTTAAGTGTTATAGTAGACCCATCCACAAAAAGGGGGATAAAGATCATGTAGAAAATTATCGGCCAATTTCTCTTCTCCCACTTGTCTCCGAAGTCTTAGATCGTTGCGTATTCATTAGTATCAAAGAACATGCTTTCAGTCAAATAAATTCTTGCCAACATGGCTTCATTTCCGGAAAATCATGCGTGACACAACTAATTGAAGTTTTAGATACCATTGGCAGCCAATTAGATCTCGGAAAGCAGATTGATGTGATCTACCTGGCTATGTCAAAGGCATTTGATAAGGTTAGTCACGTACGTCTTCTACATTCTCTCAGAGAATTTGGATTCGGAGGAAATCTCTTAATGTGGTTTAATTCTTACTTGAAAAATCGCCGACAACAAACTACTGTTCTCGGTGCAACATCGACAGCACTACCAGTGATATCCGGAGTACCACAAGGTTCCATTCTTGGCCCGCTACTTTTCCTCTTATATACCAATGACCTATCTTCTTCCATCGTGAATTCGAACGTAGCAGCTTTCGCTGATGACAGTAAGATTTTTAAAGTGATTAACTCCAGTACCGATGCAATGATATTACAAAATGATCTTCTCAACTCTAATTCCTCCTCATCCAATGCTGGTGCGCATCTTGACACATCAAAATGTAAAACCCTCCAGGTCACCAGGAAACACAACAAAAAAGATTTCCCTTATCAACTACAAGATACCACATGCACTAGAAAAGACTGATGCGAACTCGGTTTAGGTGTATGGACGAATTATGATCTCACTTGGTCAAAGCAAGTTACACAACAAAGTAACAAAGCTAATAAAATGCTGGGTTATATTCGAAGATCAACTTTCAATATTCGCGAGTTTGCAATTCGACGAACACTGTACCTTTCTCTGGTTCACTCACACTTAGGATATGCCACCCAATATGGGCGCCCCAAACAGTTGAGTTGGTGAAAAGAGTAGAACGAGGTCAGAGGCGTACAACTAAATATATTTTAAATGTTCCCTTTATTTGTGATACTCCTTGCAACCAGTTTGCTCCCTCTCAGCTACTGGCACGAATACCTGGACGTAGTATTCTTCTATAAGGCATGCAAATCACGACATTTTTAATATTGATAAAAAAATTCGTCCATTTCCTCAACCTCAGGGTCAAAGACAGACAAGATCATTTAATCCCAACTCGCACAAATATAAAATTCCGACATACAAGACGTCTACCTATGAAAAATCTTACAAAATCCGAACATCAAGAATATGGAACACACCACCTAATCATATTACATCCAAAGACCGAACATTTTCAGAATTCAAGAATCTTCTTCTTAAGTACTATATTTTAGCATTAGAAAATACATCCGTTGTTGAGGATCCCCGGACATGGAAAAGTGTGTGTATAAAATGTAATTCCGCTCGAAGTTTAATGAACTTTCCATTGACATGCCGCTTTTAGACAAATGTAATGACTGTTGTTCAAGTATTGTTTATTGTGTGTGTTTAGTATACCTTGCAAATTATTTCTGTATAACTATTGGGGCCGCTGTAATTGGCAATAGCTGTTGTGGTTTCCCAGCCAACGAATGTATAAGTATGATGGCAAAGTAAATAAATAAATAAATAAATAAATAAATAAATAAATAAATAAATAAATAAATAAATAAATAAATAAATAAATAAATAAATAAATAAATAAATAAATAAATAAATAAATAAATAAATAAATAAAGAGATGGACAGGAATATTCGAACATCATTTTCAGTTTGTGCTTATATGCATTTCATGTAATGATTCGTTCATTATTTTCTAGACCTTAATGAATGTGTACTTGGAACTCATGGTTGTAGTGTGAATGGTTTCTGTACAAACACTTTTGGATCTTACACGTGTCAATGTAACCCGGGCTACACTGGAAACGGATTTACTTGCACAGGTAGGCTATTATACAATTTTCTATCTTATCATTTTTATTAAAAGAAGCCTCTATTATCATGCAAGTAAGTATAGCGATTTAACTCAGTACTAAAAAAGACATTGTAGGCGATTGTAGTTTAAAATGAGTGTTACAAGTGATCTTATTTTTGAAAGGCATTCTTCAGCGATATTAATGAGGTTTATCATCTCATTATCTACAGTGTGTATAAAAAAAACTGAACCCTTTCAAATTCAAATTAACTATAACGTATTGTAGTAATTTGACAGCTCTAATTGCTTTGAATTAATGGTTGGGCAAAAACACAAGGTCTTGTACTCATGGGACGAAACTCAAAGAAATAAAAATTAGAAAATTTAAAAGTTTTTAAGAGTTTTGTCCCATGGGTACAAAACCTTGTGTTCTTACCCAACCATTAACTCAAAGCAATTAGAGCTGTCAAAGTACTACAATACGTTATAGCTAATTTGAATTTGAAAGGGTTCAGTTTTTTTTATACACCCTGTATTGTCTTAATTGCATTCGACGCGAGTCACGCGACCAAAATTCGACATATAAAACTGCCGCGGGCTTTAGGGGCTTAAGTGTTATAGTAGACCCATCCACAAAAAGGGGGATAAAGATTATGTAGAAAACTATCGGCCAATTTCTCTTCTCTCACTTGTCTCCAAAGTCTTAGAGCGTTGCGTATTCATAAGTATCAAAGAACATGCTTTCAGTCAAATAAATTCTTGCCAACATGGCTTCATTTCCGGAAAATCATGCGTGACACAACTAATTGAAGTTTTAGATACCATTGGCAGCCAATTAGATCTCGGAAAGCAGATTGATGTGATCTACCTGGATATGTCAAAAGCATTTGATAAGGTTGGTCACGTACGTCTTCTACATTCTCTCAGAGAATTTGGATTCGGAGGAAATCTCTTAATGTGGTTTAATTCTTACTTGAAAAATCGCCGACAACAAACTACTGTTCTCAGTGCAACATCGACAGCACTACCAGTGATATCTGGAGTACCACAAGGTTTCATTCTTGGCCCGCTACTTTTCCTCTTATATACCAATGATCTATCTTCTTCCATCGTGAATTCGAACGTAGCAGCTTTCGCTGATGACACTAAGATTTTTAAAGTGATTAATAACTTCAGTACCGATGCAATGTTATTACAAAATGATCTTCTCTACTTTAATTCCTCCTCATCCAATGCTGGTGCGCATCTTAACGCATCAAAATGTAAAACCCTCCAGGTCACCAGGAAATACAACAAAAAAGATTTCCTTTATCAACTACAAGATACCACACTAGAAAAGACTGATTGCGAACTCGATTTAGGTGTATGGACGAATTATGATCTCACTTGGTCAAAGCAAGTTATACAACAAAGTAACAAAGCTAATAAAATGCTGGGTTATATTCGAAGATCAACTTTCAATATTCGCGAGTTTGCAATTCGACGAACACTGTACCTTTCTCTGGTTCACTCACACTTAGGATATGCCACCCAATATGGGCGCCCCAAACAGTTGAGTTGGTGAAAAGAGTAGAACGAGGTCAGAGGCGTACAACTAAATATATTTTAAATGTTCCCTTTATTTGTGATACTCCTTGCAACCAGTTTGCTCCCTCTCGGCTACTGGCACGAATACCTGGACGTAGTATTCTTCTATAAGGCAAATCACGACATTTTTAATATTGATAAAAAAATTCGTCCATTTCCTCAACCTCAGGGTCAAAGACAGACAAGATCATTTAATCCCAACTCGCACAAATATAAAATTCCGACATACAAGACGTCAACCTATGAAAAATCTTACAAAATCCGAACATCAAGAATATGGAACACAGCACCTAATCATATTACATCCAAAGACCGAACATTTTCAGAATTCAAGAATCTTCTTTTTAAGTACTATATTTTAGCATTAGAAAATACATCCAATGTTGAGGATCCCCGGACATGGAAAAGTGTGTGTATAAAATGTAATTCCGCTCGAAGTTTAATGAACTTTCCATTGACATGCCGCTTTTAGACAAATGTAATGACTGTTGTTCAAGTATTGTTTATTGTGTGTGTTTAGTATACCTTGTAAACTAGGGTACCTGCAGGTAGGGATTGCTGCGGGCATTAAAAGCATGCAAATAGAACTACAGTAAATAGCACAGATTATATATCAAGCACAGTTATTACTCGCAGCGACTAGTGAGCTGTGAGCTTAATGCCTTAACCGAGTAAGGAATCGATTCTTACCATGAGTGGAACTGAGAAATCGAAATAGCATGCAATATATATTTAAAGTAGCCAAGACCAGGGGTTAAAAGGCAATCACAGGTGACAGATATTAAACATGTGCGTTTCATTGACATCAGGTAAATTAATTATATAACACAAGTTGTTGCTATCAGATTTCATATCAAGTGTGTTTACTGCTAGGCGCATTTACCACATTATATAGCCTACATACACAGATTTATTACACTAAGAAATCAAAACTTGATAAGAATATAGAACTGACAGTGGCCAAAGTCAATGCATTGAGTGAACAACGCACGAATCAATGCAAAAAGAACGATTAAATTAGAACACCGAATCGTTTTGAAAACTTGTGCTATTAGCCGGACTGCCGAAGCGAAGGCCTTTCAATACATGTGCTTCCACGTATACTTGAAACATCACTTGATGCAAAATATGGAAATCAGCAAGAGAAAGCAAAAGCGAATGGATAGAAAAACATTTAAAATACATTTCTATGTAAGACTTCCATGCTTTACAGCACTAACAGCTCAAGCATAGTCGAATAGTCGATGGCACATTGGCCGAAAATATAGTTTATAGGCTATACAAGTGTACGGAAGGCGAATATAAATAGCAAGAAAACAATGAAGTGAATACAATCGACAAAAGGTTACCTTTCGAGAGAACAAGTCTTCTTGAGAAAAACGAAAAACTTTATACCACTGCGGCGAAACTCAAGTGTGAGAAATTAGAGTCAGGCAGTCAGCTTCCACGTGCCAACGACTGTATAATATTTAAGTTTACTGCGCATCTACTGCGCGCGACCACAATTCCTTGCGTTTAGAAAAATTGAGAAATCTTGCCCCTCTACACAAATTAGGTCTGCTGCGTCGCTCGCTCGCTTCAGGCTCGCTCGCTTCCGCAGCAATTATTTCTGTATAACTATTGGGGCCGCTGTAATTGGCAATAGCTGTTGTGGTTTCCCAGCCAATGAATGTATAAGTATGATGGTAAAGTAAATAAATAAATAAACAGATGGACAGGAATATTCGAACATCATTTTCAGTTTGTCCTTATATGCATTTCATGTAATGATTCGTTCATTATTTTGTAGACCTTAATGAATGTGTACTCGGAACTCATGGTTGTAGTGTGAATGGTTTCTGTATAAACACTTTTGGATCTTACACGTGTCAATGTAACCCGGGCTACACTGGAAACGGATTTACTTGCATAGGTAGGCTATTATACAATTTTCTATCTTATCATTTTCATTAAAAGAAGCCTCTATTATCATGCAAGTAAGTATAGCGATTTAACTCAGTACAAAATAAGACATTGCAAGTGATCACTTATTATTATTAATATTAATTAATTTTAAATTTGTAAGCTATCCAAATGTATATACATATGTTTGAAAGTTATTCATGAATAACTTTCAAACATATGTATACATTTGGATAGCTTACAAATTTAAAATTAATAATACCGCCAATTAATGCACCATACATTCTTATTTTGTAATTAGTACATGCTATGAGAGTTTTCGTGTTCACTATGGCTGAATACATATATGAAAAGCTAAACGAAGTGGCTAATTCGTACTGCCACAGCACGCCGAGTTTGATTTGTTATTCGTTGAGAAACTATGAACTACTAGAAATACATGCATGCAACAACCCCTCGCCTATATTTTCAAACATTGTTTCAACATGAAGTATCCATAATTACGCCAACATGGTGACACGAATCACGATTTTTTAAATTTTTGTGCAACGCTGCAAAAAATAGATGAAACGTGAACACTTTTTAAACACAGAACTATCAATTTCTAAAATATATAAAGTAGGTATATTATTTTGGTTTTCATGGGCTTTATTTTAATATAAAATTCAGAACGAAACTCTACGTAAAACGTTTTTAAATATGAATTGAAATCAGCTGCTTTTTGCCGACATTTATATAAACTCTTCAACTCAAGCTTCTACCGTATTACTCGCACTTTGAAAGGAAATAAATTTAATTCGTACAGGACGCTAATGAAAATAATTTGCTTTCTTTTTTATAATGAACTTCTACAAAGGTTAATTTAACTAAGAAACGTTCGCAAACAATGCATAGGAAATACTTGAACATCAAGAACAAAGTCCACATTAATACAAAGTCATGCATAAACAATTGAAACTAACTTTCCCAATACTTTAGGATTTCTCATACTAAATCAATTCTTATAAATGTTTACGTTTATTAAAAAATGGTTAAAAGTTTTACAATTTGTTATGTGAAACGACATGCATTTTTTATATTTGTTTCCTCTTCACTCCTGGCAAACAGCCATATTTTGAGATCAGTGGGATGACCACCCACCGAACCACTCACGGTAACCCACGCGCGCAATCATTGATGAACTTTAGACTTCGCTAATGCTTTCGTTTCCCCGGGTGAAAATAGCCGGGCGGAATTAGTACCCTCGCTCCGGGCTTACGCACGGAACGGCGCTCCGCGCTGTTGGCTCGGGGACAAGCGATTACTATTGCGCCTGTTGTATCATGCTGATCTATTTGTTAATTGTTCATCTTTGCATAATAGTTTATACCCATTCAGCGCCTGCCTAAATAGGCTGTGTTTACAATGTATTTTGTGTCTGTCTTAGCTTTCGAAGTGGCTATTCGTACTGGATTATGTCACCCTATGTCATTCTTACATTTCGTAATGTAGTATAAAATAGTTTTTTGCAACAGCTTTCAGCGAGCTTGCTGGTAGCGTATTCGGCAAAGGCGTTGCGTGCGTGGGAAGCGGAAACGAGGTCGGGCCCGGTTTAGTTTTAGCCGTCGGCCGTTTGAAAAGGGTTTGAGGTTGGGGTCAGTTTATCTTAAATATTCCAACTGCAGTACATGCAATTGTTTCTTTAAATTTATTATCTATATGATAAAGAAGAAGTTCTGTACTTGACTGCAGCCGGTATAAACTGTAATAATTATTAAGTACTATAAATACTATAAATACAAATATTATTATAAAATTTAGATAATCCAAAAAATATTAGATAATCCTGCTATCCTACAGGCTATATATCTATCAAATTGCACTGGTATACCTGTATAATTACTGACCCTCATCAAACCTATTGTTTTCGGCTGGAAGACTACGTTACTGCTTGTCAGGTCGACTGTATGACAATGAACCTATACAACGTTGCACTAGACATTTGTAAGGACATGCATTTAGTTTACATGCGTTCTAGTTTACATATTATCATTAATGATATAGTCAATTCAAAGAGCGTATTAAACTGGATAAACACGGGAATAGAACTTATGGTGTGTTTTGCACATGCGTATGTCTAGGATAAAATCCCACAAGCGCAAACGAAACTATTGCTCTATAAAATTGAACTGAAAGGACTCAGAGCGGCCGTTTTGGCAGTGCTTCAGGCACCCGCCGAATCTAGTTTAATTGGATCAACAATACAATCAAGACAGACAAGAAGGAGAAGAGAAGAACAGACAAAGTCGCAGTGGAGGAAGAACAAGAAGAGTTGGTGGAGCAAGTAGTTACGCAGTGGAGTGAAGCAGCAGTTGAGGAAGTGACGGATGGTGAGGCAACGATTAACATAGCAACGATTGGTCAGGCAGCCGCGATGGATTTTGCTGCAGCTGTTCGTGTCAATGGTGGGGAGCAGCCAAGGGTTCATCCTATTCGCCAGGGTGAGCCGAGGCTGCGTCGTCCAAATACGATTGTATTGCATACAAACCATTTGGAGGGTTTGTCCGTAAAGGATGTCATTCAAGCAATTGTTAATGTTGTTGGTGTGGATGTTGTTAAAGCTGTGCAGTCAATGCCCTATGGTCGATATAGGGTCACATTTCGTACTAATGAAGCTAAACTGGCTTTCTTATCTCAGCCTTTTAACATTAAGAATGTGGAAATCAAATTGAGAACCCAATTGTGGAGGTGAAAGTGTTGTACGTTCCTAGTGAAGTGCCCAATAAAGTCGTTGCGGAGTTTCTTGGTAATCATGGGAAGGTAGAGACGATAACACACGAAATGACGACGGAGCATGGCTTCCCCACGATTGAAACGGGAACAAGAGTCGCCAAGATGACTGACATTAAAACCGATATCCCACGAAAGTCAAGAATTGGACACTTCCCCGTGGAAATAAGACATAAAGGTCAACTCCCTCAATGTTTTCGTTGCCGTTTATTGGGCCATCGTGCGAATGAGTGTCCGAATGATGTAGTTTGTTTTAAGTGTGGTTTGTCTGGACATATTCGTGATAAGTGTTTCAAATGTTTTCGCTGTGGCAAGTTTGGTCACGTCCGAGAGAACTGCCCTGAGTTGCAACACCCACGCGTACCGCCCGCTTCTGCTGATGGTAATTCCACCGCCCGGGTCGCTGACACGGTGGCACCAGTAACCGTCGAATTAATGGAAACAGATCGCCGTAACGTGAACTTAGTAGCCCAAAAAGGGCAGTCTCACAGTTCCGCCCCAGTTATGTCACACCCTGAGTCTCAGGATCCCTCCACGTCGCAGATCCCTTCAGAGTCCCAGGTCTCTCCTGTGTCCCAGGCCTGCCCCGTGTCCCATGTCTCCCCCGTGTCCCAGGATGCCACTCAGTCCCAACAGCCCAATGCATTATTAAATCGTGAGTCCCATGAACTCAACCTGTCCAGTTTACAGGATGAAGGACGTATGGATTTAGATGCGGAACCGCTGAAGCGGGGACCGGATGGCAGTACGTGGACAGAGGTACGGAAGAAACCTAAACCTAAGTGATGGTGAATTCTTCGTTATCGATAGTATCCCTGAATGTGGATGGTATGAGAGATCCTAAACGTCGTAGTTTAATGTTTGATTATCTAAATCGTTATGAATATGATATAGCATTGTTGCAAGACACCAGGATACTCAACAATCGGGAATGCATGCAGTGGAATGCTGAATGTCGATGTCGAGGATTTTGGAGTGTTGGAACTGTTCATAGTCGGGGTGTTGGTATCTTAATCCGTGATCCTGCGAAATTCGAGGGTATCTCGTTTGATGTTGACTTTGACGGTAGGTGTGTGTTTGCGATTTGACTTTTAATGGAACACCTTTGCGGGTTGTCAATATTTAGGCTCCTGCCGTTGGTACAGATCGGTTGAATTTCTTGTCGCAGCTGGACAAATATTTGTTAACCCGCCGTAAAATGATCATGGGCGGGGACTTTAATTTGGTTTTAGATATAGCTATGCACCGTTTCGGTGGAAATCCTCACGGGAGTATTGGTAGCCCAGAATTGAAGCGGTTGTTATCAAAATATCATTTGATTGATATCTGGAGACATCAACATCCATCATTGAAAACTTGTATTTGGTCCAACGCGGAGCGTTCTATAATGTCGCGGTTGGATAAATTTTACATTTCTGTGGATTTGGTGGATGATAGTAAGATAGTAACTGGGATTCAACCATGTCACTTATCTGATCATGATTTGGTTTACTTTCATATTTTTGATACGCATCACGTTCTTACGTGGGGCCGGGGGTGTTTGGAAAATGAACACTTCTCTCCTCAAGCATGAAAAACTGCGAACTGAAATTATATCTTTCTGGTCAGACTGGACTGAGGCGAAGATATTATTTAGTGATGTCGGGGGAGTGGTGGGACGAAGGCAAAGCTGAAATGAAACATATTATTATTGAGTATATAGCAAAGCTGTCAGGCAGCAAATAAATGAACAGCGAGTCCATCTTATGAACAAGTTCCATCGTCTATCGGAGAAAACAAATTTGTCACCTCACAAATTAGAACAGTTGCAGCGTGTTCGGTCCGATTTATGTGAACTTGCTTCTCAGAGATTGGAGGGGGCTAAAATTCGGAGTCGTATTGGAATCATCAGGAACAATGAGAAGCCTTCACGCTTCTTTTTACAACGTGAACGCAGGGCGTAGTAAAACACGGGCGGTGAAACGCGCTAATATTTGCCTGATCCATGTGTGATGCACGGGAGACTGGCGCGAGCGTGCGAAATGCGCGGATCAAGCGGGATTTTTAAAGATGAAGCGAAGCAAAAACAAGAGACAAAAATATTTAAAGGGCAATCAAAAAGTGCAAATTTTTAAGGTAAATTTATCCTTAAAATGGAAAAAAATTAACTTGTTATAAAATAGAGACTCTGGCAATGAATTAGTATTGCAAATTACATCGCTGGAGTTGGAAAAGCATTTTTAAAATGTGAAATTATTTGAAGGCATAGCGATTTTATCATAAAATATATTTACATTTTTCAGGCAATGACAAATTGTAGTCGAGTTTTTTAGCCAGACCGAGTGGAAAAAAAGTTAACTTCAACCCTTTAAATTATCTATAATTAGTTATACTTTCGATCTGAAAAGGTTAGAAAATGGGCTTTTGTGGGCTTTTTTTTCAATTTAAAGATTTATGACCAGGTCACTTGCGTAATTTACAATGACACAACTTGTGACCTTGTTTTGATAAAGTTAGAAAACAATTGTCAATTTAGAAAGCATTGGAAACATTTTCATTAACATATTCAGGCATTCAAATGCAATATAAAGTTAGGGAAAATATTCAATTATAAGGAACAAGCAGAAAATTCCGTTTTTACCATGTTAAAGGTTGTTTTATTTCTCTTTTCGAACTTACAGTATGCAACTGAAATGTCCGCCAAAAGACTCCAAATTGCATGTTCACAGCGATGTCGCAGTTTTACAAGCGCGGAAAATTTTTGACCTTTAAATATTTCATGCACAGTATATGAAAACTAGCTTTATTTTGATGTTTTTGGATAATTTAAGTACCTAATTTTCTAAAAATCACCAAATGATAATGGGCTTTTTTAATTTTTAAACATTTTTTTGGCTTATTTTTGACATGTACATGCCAAGTCTACACAATGCCATATCGAATGCAAGCAAGCGATGTAGTTTGTTGTCGCAGTTTTACAAGCGCGGAAACTTTTTAACTTTTAAATATTTTATGCACAATATATGAAAACTAGCTTTATTTTGATGTTTTTGGATAATTTAAGTACGTAATTTTCTGAAAATCATCAAATGATAATGGGCTTTTTTGTTTAAACATACTTTTTTCCAGCTTTTTTCATAGGGTGTCAGATTTCAAAAACGCAAAGTCGAAGGCAATGCTATTCCATGTGTAGATTTCGGCATGGACATGTCAAACTGAATCAGGGCAAAATGTTTAAAAATTAAAAAAGCCCATTTTCATTTGGTGATTTTCAGAAAATTACATACTTAAATTATACAAAAACATCAAAATAAAAATAGGTTTCATATATTGTGCATGAAATATTTAAAAGTTAAAAATTTTCCGCGCTTGTAAAACTGCGACAACAAACTATCGCTTGCTTGTATTTCATGTGTAGATTTGGCATGCACATGTCAAAAATAAGACCAAAAAAATGTTTAAAAATTAAAAAAGCCCATTTTCATTTGGTGATTTTCAGAAAATTACGTACTTAAATTATACAAAAACATCAAAATAAAAATAGGTTTCATATGTTGTGCATGAAATATTTAAAAGTTAAAAATTTTCCGCGCTTGTAAAACTGCGACAACAAACTATATCGCTTGAAAAAAAAGAACTTGCTGTTTTTATCAATTTATGGCGCTTCATCTGGTGGAACTTGACAAAAATACATGTGATTGAACATACCTGATTTCCAAACACACATTCCAGTTGCAGGTTTTACAACAACAGCCGTTTAAAAAACTTTTTCTTCGTCTTTTTTTTCATCTTATAAACGAACGAAGTTGTTTTGCAAAAACAATCGATCCTCGTGAGTGAGATCCCAGACTTTAATATATCTACACTACAACATTCCCCATATAATCAGCCGTGATTAAGAATCCGGAAAAAAGATTTTGTCTATAGTAATAGCACAGATCCCAAATCCATTGTGAATTCAGCTTGAATTGTACCTTTTTACGTAGTAATTTTAAAAAGAAGTCAAAACAAACATGCATGCCTGATCAAACCACATCGAATTCGAATAAAAATGAAAATATGCGGGGGGACCTGCATCACACATAGATCAGGGGCGCCATAGCCGTTTCACCGCCCGTGTTTTACAGCGCCCTGGCAAGGCGAAAATCGCGGACACGAAAATGTTAAGGAAAGGTGTACAGTGAGACTTCTGGTCGATTATATATTCTATGATGACGACAGCGAAATAGCAAACATTTCTTGATTTGATGATTGATAAATTTCTTGCAAATATATTTAATTTTTGCTCGCATTTTTGCAAGATTTTGTAAATTTCAAGAAAGAAAGGGCGAAAGAATTGGCTAAAAGAAGGGAGCCGACGTCAACGAAGGTAACTTTGTTTTAAATATTGATTTTATAATTGCTTTAAAACCCGACGGCCGCTTTGGCCCTTTGGCTTTGCGTATATGAAACAACTAAACAAGACAGCACATAATTTCAGTGTATTAATAATATTGATTCCCTTTTTTATTAGGCCTATATTGAATTTTTTAAATAAAAAAGAAAGCAAAGTTATTTGCATGCGAGAATTTGATATGATTTTATTGCAAACTCAAAGTTTATCGATAAAGCCATTTTAATAATTAAAGGCAGTTTTAATAGTTTTATAAAGAACATTTTAAAACGTTTTGCGAAGCTTTTGTGGTTGAATTTTACCTTAAATTGAAGCTTATATAACGTATAATAACATACCTAACATATATATGTTGGGAAATTGATAATTTTGTAATTAAAAGTGATATTTTTGGGCGATTTTTCATTTGTAAGAATATACGTAAAAAAATTATCGTGTTACCATGACAACAACTTTGGATACTTCATGTTCGGAAAATACAATGGTTTTGTCAGCAAGGCGAGGGTTTCTGCATGCATGTATTTTCTAGTATTTTGGATATTCGTAAAGCGTTTGATTCTATTGACCATGAGATTTTATTGAGAAAGTTAAAAAATAATATAATAAAACATGATATTGAACTGAAATGGGTTGGGTCTTACCTAACAAATAGAGAGCAAGTTTGCTTGGTAAATAGCCACACATACTTACCGAAGAAAATAAGATGCGATGCCCCACAGTGTTCAATTCTAGGACCCTTGTTATTTTTACTTTATGTAAACGACATGCCAGATCACTTGAAAAAAACAATTCGGTATCCCTATTCAGATGATACTCAAATTTCGTCTTCCTCATGTGATTTAGAGACTGCATTAGCTCGAAATTTAAATGATGATCTAAATAGTATTCAGAGGTGGCTTTTAAAAAAATAATCTTCAACATCATCCCACCAAAACAAAAGTCATGTTTATTGCGTCATCTTATAACCTCATCAATAAAATTGGAAATACGCCAATATATATATTAATGAATAATACCCCAGTCCCTCGAACCAGCAAATATACATGTTTAGGGATGGACATTGACGAAAAATTAACTTGGAATGCACATATTGATTCGATATGTTGTAAAGTCAGTGCTGGATTTGGGGCTATGAAACGTATAAAGCCCTTTGTCCCACCTGCAACTTTGCAAACAATTTACAAAGCATTAATCAACCCTACTTTGATTATTGTTCCCCTCTGTGGGAGACCTGTGGAAAAACACTTCAAGATAAACTACAAAAATTTCAATCCCGTGCAGCTAGAGTGATTACTGGACTCATAGAGTTATGATATTAGGTCTATTGATGTTTTGGTTGGCAAACACTTCATGTGAAACCAAAGACGTAGCCAAGATTTCTGGTCAGGGGGGAGCAAAACCCAGGTGGGACCAAGCCACCACTCACTCGAGACGCCAAGGGCGTCAATCCATACCAAAAAGGGGGACGGACTAGTACTCCAAATTAGGAAGGTCCGGTCGGTATGCTATTTTTGATACACTAAAAGGGCATTTCCAGCGTTTTGGAAGCACTTGCATGTGAAGTTATAGTACAATGTGATGATCTTAAATCCATTTTTAACTATGTGAGAAATCCGCTAAAACACAAGGATGTGCAAGTGGCATAAAGCACGTCAAAGTTGTTAATTAATTATATTATATAGTTGTTAGTTATTCATTTAGTTATAGATTGCAATGCTATGTCTACAACTTTTATAATTGGGATCAAGCAAGAAACTACAAAAATGGAATCTTTTGGCTATATTTTACTGTGTTTGAAAATGATAAAATAAAATTATCTAGTTTTAAATCTTAATCAGTTAGTCGTTAAATTAGTAAATTACGATTATGTCGATTAGCTCAATAATTGATGTATAATAGTTTAAAATATGTTATCACATTCTTTACTGCAAATACACATATATAGTATCTTCCACTTTGAATATATATAATTAAATTTATATGCATGTTAATGTTTTATTTTATATTTGTTATATACTTTTATCCATATTCAATATAATAATTCGAACTGACTAAATATAAGAATGAAATAATGTAAGTATAGGGGCCCAAACAAAAACCAGTAAAACGAATTATTGTCTCATTTACTGCCGCTTGCCAGTTAGAACAGGAAGTGAATACGATCAATAGTGCCTTTATGTAAATGTTTGTATATTATATGC